TGTTCCGGACCTCGAAGATAAAGGAATGTGAGACCAACAAAGCCTTAAAGAACAGGCGTGGAAACAAACATGGTTTAAGTCCTATGGTAGAACATTCAGTGGAGACAAATGATATACAATTTGCAACACGGATTATGCTGAAAGTGTCTTTTGAATGTTCTACGAAAGCAATGGCCGTATAGGTTGGCTGCTACCATCTACATGGGATACAGAGTTGCGCCATTAAGCAAAAAACGCACTATCGCAGTATTGGTGTCTGTCCACATGGCGAACCGAGAATCTACACGAAAATGTTAACCGCGACGTCAGCAAGACAACTTTATACTTATATCCGTGCTTTTCAGGTGGGTATGAGGGCTGCTGCTGGAGGAGCAGGTGCCAGAGAAGTTCCTTCGCTTGACGGTGGAAGGTTCCGTGAAAATACGAACCAGCGGAAGTAATCAGAACTTTGAGTAGATGTAAGCCAATTGACCTAAACAATGCGGGGGCGTTTTCACATCGATACTGCACCGCCCAGCCTTACGAATATCCTGTCTCCACTTAACAACCACGCAACATGCTCAGTAGCCTAATATACCGGGGCTGGAATTTTTGTTGTTCTGGAAATTTATCAGCACTTCGGTATGATGGAGAACACCTTGGTATTCGCGTTGGCATCCGGCATTTGGAAGACTCCCTACCTGAGCGTATGCGAGAGGAGCAGCTCCCATTTACGTCGTTCGAAAGTCGAAGCGCAACAGAAGGAAAGATGGTTGTAATTGTTACTGACGGATAATTTTATGATTGAAACCCTTGCTCAGCTGCAGCAGCAGACTCCTATACTGATGGAGGAAGCACCACCGACTGAATAACCAAATCTCCACAAGCATCGGAAAATATTACCTACTCTAGAACTTGTCCATCTGAAGGTAGATTTTAAACGCGTAGCAAGCAAAAAAGACAATGAAGGGAAGACCTAATCCTACGCTTCAAATAGTGCAACGGAGTAGAGCGTGTCCCTATACACTGCCTGGTCAAATTCGCACAGTCATGCTAGGATGATTGGCAAGCTTTCTACAGCAACGTTTCAAACTTTTGTCACAGAGTTGGTGCTTCTGGTGTCCTTGGATATGCTTGCGTTGATGTGTGACTTCCAGACCTTCAATGGAAAACGATTCCTCACATCGACGTGCTGCATTTCTGTAGGTTTAACCAAGCCAATGCCTCTGTCTTCAACCAATCGGAATAAAAATTATCGTAACCTGGGTGCAAAATGTGCTTTTAGCCCACATTCCTCAGGCACAACGGTTGTTGCAACTTCGGATGATAGAGGAAAAATGAACCATGAGAAAAATCTGGACAGTGGAAAAATTGAAACTTATGCTCACCTGGACATACAACAAGAAGCAAAATCGCGATGTCCCTCTCCTCCACCGACCTCATAAATCATGGCGACCCAGAGCAAAATACCCGCCCAACTAACAGAGGAAATTAGAAGCCATTACCCCGCGAAAAACCGAAGGTGAAAACAGTCGTCAAGCGGCTTTGCCAGTTCAACATTAATGTTAAAATGCTTTACGGCAGTGTTGCAGGACGTGATGGGTTTTCGCCTGGCAAGCGTTCTCCCTATATAAAGTCACTAATGTTTGTTTAACAACACTGCGACAAGGCGAATGTGACTTGCCACTGAATAAAGTCACAGCCCACAACTACATACTGGCAAGTCGACTAGATTCACATATCAACTCTTCCCGACTCCGTTTCAACTACACACGATTGAACCCGATGTATCATCGTGATACACAACAGTTTTTAAACCTTGATCATACCTAATTTGGTGCGTCTCTATGAAACTGAGAATAAACTATCTATTTATTTATATTATCATGGACATACGACCAATTTTCTACTGTTACTGTCACAGTTGCCATAAAATGTTTGTACAGTTGCACATATCTGATCATGCCTCCATGGGCGTGCCTCGCATAGTCGAGAATAAAGTATTTATTTATTTATTTATTTGAATTGTTTATAGAAGAAGAGAAGCATATGTTTGACACGTCTCGTAGGACAGTTAAGTACAAAAAAGTCGTAATATTTGTGAGTCATCTGCCGAGCGCCTATTGGGATAAAAACATTGATAAATAACGTTAGTGTAAAATAAATAAAAAGGGTACGCGGGAGAAAATTAAATATGGTCTATCACACACGCACCGTTTTCTTGGATCCACATGACCCATGGATCCCGTAGATGTGCATGGTTAACTAATCCAAAACGTCGCTGTGGACGTAACAAAGCGCTGGCAACTAGTAGTAACCTCCAAAGGTTTTCTGAGAATGTCCAAAGTAGAGGCGGCAACAACTGTGTCTCGGAATGCTTTTCAACATGCTCAACCCGAAGGAATAATTTTTCTGTCTTCACTCTAAATGGCTGTGTTGCTACCTAAATTCCCAGCGCCTTCTCCTTAGCTGCTTGTTGTGGTCATGTTGCAGCCAATGGCTACATGCGTGGTTGTAATCACTAAAAATGAGGTCACCTCGCGACCTAAGATATCGGCGCAGCATAAGGACACGTATGTAATGGCAGCGTGCAGCGAGGAAACCAGCACGGAAAAGAGAATGCAAAAAGTGGACGAGAGTTATGCTTCTAAAAGAGCAAATAAGGTGATAGTCAAGAGATAATGGTTAAGAAGGTTTCACGATCCTGCTTTGTCTATAATAACCAGCTAACTAATTTGCGGGTTGGTTTGTTAAGCCTTGATTTGAAAGACGCAATAAATCTTGTTTGTGCTGGTACGAAGTGAATGTGTGTTATGACTATGAGGACTACTCAGGGAGTGCGTAGGTCCCAAAGTACGGGGCTAGCAAGTGCTTGTACAGCATCTTCACCGGTGAACTTAACTTTAATTTAGACGGCGGTGGTCAGTGCGTCGACTGGATGCAGTCTCAGGCTTGGGCAGGCTGCTTTTTCTCAAAGGTGCTAAAGGATATGCGGTGGAAATACATCGGGAGATTAGTGTGACGGAACTCGCGCCTGGTGTGCTACAGACGCATATGAACTGGGCAGAAGGAAAAGCACCAGACGCATTTGGTGCTTTCCCAGATTGGCTGTGCTATGTAGCTTGCAAACTACTGGGATGAAACCTAGAAGCAATTACAACTAAAATCCTACCACTTATGAGTAACATTTCTCATATGTCAACTACACGGACTAGTACCTGAGACGTACCCAACACATAAACTTCCGCTTCTTAGGTTGTGCACGTATAAATAATGGATGTTGTAAAATTGTTGCTTAGAAGTTTCCTTAGGTGCATTCAAAATCGGGGCCTTTTTAGGCGATTTAGGTGTCACTGGAATAGACCATTTAGGCTTCTGCAAAATGTCACCATGTTGCAAATGAAGCGCGACAAGAGTTGGTTTGCCTCAGGAGGGCGCGAAGTAACACTAAAAATAACTGCTTTTGCTGTTATATAAAGCAGTGGTTAGGCCACATTTGAAGTACTAGCCTCAGGTCTAGGCACCGTAACTCCGTAGTGACGCCATGTGTGTAGAAAAGCATGCAAGACTTGAGACAAGGATGATCGAAACTTGGCTAATTAGATTAAGAATATTTTCCTTGGAACGGCGCAGATTATGAGGGGGCCTTGCTAGATATATTTAAGATAATTAATGGACTCAGTGGTTTGAGTTAGCTAAGCCGGACCATCTGCGCGAGCATGGCCTGAAGCACAAACAATATAAGACCCGCTTGTGTAGCCGGTCCGCAGACGTCACGGTAGCAATTAAACAGGTAAGAGATCGATCGCTCTTGCTTCCTGTTTTTCATATCCTCCAATTCCACTCCGGCACTTCCTCTTCCCACTTCCATGCTTCCTTCGCTGCCTCCTTTAATTCCGCCTCTTACCAGCCGGTTGAGCATCCAGCCGTCCAAAAGGCAGTTACTTTTCATTGCAGCTTGTCTCACTACTTGGACAAGGAAGAGCTCGGAAAGCAGGACCAGAGAAATATTACATATTTGGCGACCCTGCAAGTTCACGACAGCAGTCCACGAAGATGGGTTGTAGCCCTTGAGGCAATGGTAAACTTCTCTACCATCTTAATGCTTGTCGTTATTTTATTGATCCTAATATACCACACTCAATACTTCTTGCAATTACATAAGTTGATGCCGGTATGGGTCATTATAAGCCGCTGAGGACAGCGCCTGCTAAGAGGGGGATAACGTAGACGGTCCGTGTTCGACACTGTAACACGTTACAATGTAAGAGGTCGATGGCCTTTGCTTCCCGTTACCCTCACCATCCTATTTCACTTCAGCACTTTCACTTCTGCCTTCCGTGCATCCTCAAGAGACTGGTTTACTTTCGCCACTTAGTACGCGGTTGAGCGTCCAGCCGTCTACGAGGTATTTAATTTGTTGCAGTTCTAAGGGTCTATTAAGGACCGTCATACTTTGCCACGAAGAAGTTGGAACGCTAGACCAGAAGAATGTTACATTTGGACATTAGGGTGAAATTCCTTTTTACAAAGAAATTGTTAACGCCTGGAATGAACTTCCTTCTGATCTAGAGGAATGTAAGACCGTAGAAGCCTTCAAAACGGATTTGATGAATGTTGATCCGAATTTTCACAGAGACATTGTAATTGTACTAAAATATTTAGTGTATTCTGCTACTGACAAATGAACTTGTAAGCTTGTTCTTGTTATTGCTTCATTCTCCTGCAGAAGCAAGCAGGATAAAGCCAACGTCAAAGTGCGAGGGGTTGTTGCTCACTTACCGGCACAAGAAGCGAGCCGCTCGTTAGGCGAAAGCTTCTATCCTCCGTAGTACCTGACCTGACCTGCGCGGCCACAGCCCGCCTCTACCGAGACTGCACTTGTTGGAGACATTTATTTTGAGTTCTGAGAATCGGACGGTCTCAGTACGATCCTTGTGTTCAAGTCTCATTTAAAAGGGTGTTGATTAAAGGTGTAAAAAAGTTAACTATTTGTAACAAGTAATAACATAAGAGGTTGAGCACCCTCCTCCTCCATTTAAGGTTTTTCTGAATCAACTTAGCTTACCAATTAACGCATCCTTACAAATTAATCGCTTGATTTCGTGTGACATGATGGAAGCAGACGGATCAGTCTGGTTTAACGCGTGGATGATGTTCCTTACTTTCGGACCAGAAAATCTTGGATACCTTGCAGGCGATCTCAACCAGACATTGTCGTTGCATACAATGTCCATTTATTTTCCACTTTTTGAGGACCCAGAGAGTTCTATTCCGAGGAAATACATAGAAGTGGATGCAGATGCCAGGAACCTACATATAATCTCCATTCTCAACACCAGTTCACTAAGTGATATCCATGTTAATAATTTTCTTCTTACATGGAAGTCCAATTCTCAAAACCGGTCCATGAACTTTGAAGCAAAAGATGATGGCTTAATTCATATGATTGGACGTGGGGTTGAACTAACCAACCAAGTTTATGTGCACAACACTAGGCAGCCGTACAATCTACTGTACGTGACTATCGAACTGCCTGTTACTGCTGACATAATTGGTCAGCATTCCTTTGAAGTTTTTGACGACAAAAATAAGAGCCAGTTTCGCTCTGCGAAAATCGACGTGAGACTAAAGGTGAGAAACCTATGAATTTATTGCTGTGGAAGCAAACATCAAATGTGCACATAGAGTCACAATTTGGGTACGGTAATTGACAAAATGGAACTTTGGATAATTAATAGGATATATGGCAGAGGAAATAGGTGGCACACAACCTGCATAGCAAGATTGGTGTACGCTGAAGTAAAGGTTTGGGTGTCTTGGACGGCCGCTTTTTGTTCACGTGAAGCCTCAGACAAAAATTTCTGCGTAACCTCAGCGTACGCCTTGAATCCATTTTTCTTGTCTCAAATTATGTACACGCTCAATGGAAATCCATCCCTACAGCATCACCGAAGGCGTAAGTATACACGCAAATTGTTTGAGTGAGACGTGTGCTTCCTAGGACAGTCATAAGTACACATTTAGTCACTCAGCGGCCGCCTATTGGTCACCGGGGTTGATAAGGTGTACTATCTCAAGAAGGAAACGGCTTATAAGTTAAGGCCGTTGGTGGTATAGATGTAATAAAATATTACGCGTTATATTTAAACAGAGTGTGCTAGTTATTTTCTTGTTATCTGTCTCCGGAAGTGACCGAAAACGCGCTTAAATGAGGCCGCTGACCGTCCACAAATACCGATAGGAAAGTGCTATCGTGTTATAACAAGCAGAGAGCACCGTCATGCAAGGTATGTGTTGCTAAAGATAATCATACCATAAACGTCATCAATGTACGTTAGCCGAGGGTGAGACACATAAATACTGTACTGGAGCCCAAACAAGATCAGAGAGTGAGCATTACAGGCTAAAAATTTTAAACAAGTGATATGATGCTAAAGAGCATACTATGCATTACGTATGCCATCGTTGTTTAAGGGGCAACTAAAGAGGAGGGGAGGGATAAATAGCTTCACAACACAAATGCCATTGAGGCCGGCTCCTTGCTATGTCAACCAGTTTATCGAAACGAACGTGTTCATGGTCGTTCGGACCCTAGCCCGATAGTCGGAGGGCACAAGCCGACGCTAACTTCGAAGTGAGGGTGTTCATTCCTACTGACCAAATTATCGCTTGGCCTCGTCTGCTCTTTTTCCATGCAGCCCCCCGTCGCGCATACAACAGACGGCGCGAGAGTCATTGTGATGGTATGCGCACTAAGTGGCCCAAAAATCGGAGCTTCGCGTGTGAAATAAGGGTGATGAGCAGTTCATTCGGCATTTCTGCACCAATTACGCGAAGCCGAACACGCTCATTGCGCACGTGGTGTTCCCAACAGACATGAGCCAAGCTGCAAAAGCACGTAGCCAGCCTCTTTGTGCCTGTCGACTTGATGGTTTCGCAACTGTACAGGAGGATTGAAGACACAGCTGCATTGTAAACTCTAACCTTCAGGGCAAAAGTGTGTGTCACGCCAGTGCGACAAGTGGCGAGGACGGCAAAAGTACCTCTGACTTTGGATATACCGTTCGTGATTTCATCTATGATTCTATAAGAGCTAATATACCGACCCAGATACCAAAATATCTGGGCGACTTCTATATCATCATCACCAAGCGTCAGCGCAGAGGTGAGTCTCTTCCAAGCTTGGAAGACTTTCCAATTCGATGGTGAAAAACATAGTCTGAAACGGCTGACTGTCAAAGCTAATATATGCAGTGCAGCTTGGTACCTTTGGTAGCTGTCACAGGTTAAGACAGTGTTGTTGGCATAATCGAAGTCAAAAAGTTGGTCCCCTGGGAGCACCTCCGCACCTCGTAGGTCGTGCCCGGCGAACACCATTACCATGACTTCGTCAATTACAAAGCCGAAGAAGAAAAGTGACAGCGGGCAGTCTTGTCTCGTACGGTTTGAGGTAGTGAAGGGCGGCGTCAGTTTGCCTAAACTATACGCATACAGCGCGCAGATAATTGTTAAACATTTTTCCGGGCACATATTTCCTGAGCAGGCAGTTCCAAAGGGCGCATCGATACGTCGAATCAATGGCACCTATGATGTCAACAAACACGATTATGGTGGGTCGCCAGTAAATACGCGGTGCTCCAACAATTGCCCGAATGTTAAGTGGTGGTCAATGTAGCCTTAATTTTGAAGAAAGCTGGAATAAAATGTACATGAGGACATCAATCGCTGGCATGATCGTAGATACACATTCACAAATGCACTGTAAATAAATTATAGCTTGGATGAATTGCGTGTGTCATGTACCACGGTAGTCCTTCCGTTCTGCCACAGAAGTGCGTGCGCGACAAGTAATCTGCTGATCTATAATTGTAGCACATGTAAATTGAATCGTGGAAACGTTGGCTACCTGCGTGATATCGTAAAAACTAGTTTTGTATCGGAGAACAACTTGGATTATCAGATAAGCAGTCCAATGAACATGATTCAAGCTGTCGCTATTTCGTTTTCCATTGCAATGCAATAAGTAATTAACCGTTATATTCCTCTACAGTACAATGCACAGTCCATTTGAGCGGGTTGATTAACAGCTAAACGTACCAAAGATGCGATAGAATGGGGTAAGACTATGTCGTAAAAATTATTCCATAACAGTAAATGACTAGAAAAAATAAGCAAATGTAGGAGAGTGTAAGGTAGTAAACAGCTTGAAGAGATTTCGACTGGTCTCGTGTCGACCTGTATAACGATAAAAATATGAGGCTCCATCAGAAAGAGAAAACGGTCTAAACGTTACCAGATATGAGGAAGACGCTGTAGTTGTTGAATCTATGACGGTCATAAGAAAAATTCTCTAGCCATAAACACAACGGCTTTAAAAATGCAATGTATTAGTCAGCAAATAACTACCGGCTAAGCGATTTGGTCGAGTTCTTCAAGCACTCTATGCATAATAATCTCCACTCTACTTGAAGGTCGGTGGCGGATCCTGCAGTATGGGTTAAATAACCTACCCAACAGTTAGAAATTGGGGAACAAGAACAAAGATTCTTTCGTAATGGGTAGCCCAAGAGTTAGTTTAAATAACTGTTGAAATTTCTCTGTTCGCTTTTTCTCTGCTCATATGTCTCAGCTTCTGGTTAGCTCACATGTAAGAAAGATAAACAGCATTAAATCGAATTCAATACTGTGCCAATATAGAACTCTAGTTAGCTTCCTTATTACACACCTCCAGTGTGCGCCCTTTACGTTGAATATATAAATGAGCAGCAAGAGCTTCCACCCCACAGTGACATAGTTTCAATATACACAAAGTGAGTATTAAGGGAGATAGCATCATCGTAAACCTTCGGCTGACTGGCGATGTCTACCGGCACAAACCACATCATGCTGATTTCCGATGACCTTGGGTCAACAGCTTTAACTAATAACGGTGTTAAACTTGATCTACGTTGCACATCCTGAAATCCTATAACTAGTCGTATTCCATCGAGTAGCCACATGCATATAATCCAGTCCCGCAGGTGCAGCCAATATGCGGCTCTACAATACACCGTGCCTAACTTTTAGTCTGGGGATTGGAAATGATACAGACGATCAAGCGCGTTCGTCTGAACCGCTAAAATACTGCAGTTGCAATTGCTACGAAGGAAGTAAGCATGGAATTAGGAACCCCACCACCAGAGGCCGCTACATTGTCATTAGTTTCCTTACTAGTGGTCATAATCTATGTTCCTAGCCGTTTTTCAGATATAACACTTCTAGCAACAACACGGGCAACGGTATCGTGTCACCGGGTGATCCAAAATTTACTATATTATCTTCATACACGAATCGCAGAGACCAGTACACGATTGTCTATCGTTAATTACATTTCAAAATGTGAGGTCGCCTGTCGATCTATCTGAAATTTGACGTTACGTACCTGCCACCTCAACTCACGGGGTGTCAAAAGTTGATACGAATGATCCGACTGCCAAAAACAGACTTTCACTAATGTGCCATAAGGAAAGTTATGGAAAGCCTGTACGCATCTTACTTGAACAGTCCGAGTAAGGCACGGATTATTAAAGTCTCCTTCATCAGCTGAACCGCAGATAGCATCAAGGACTGTCAATTTCGGTGTGTGCGTAGCTTAAATAGCAGTTGAACACGAATCCTAGTTCTGAACACGGTGTTGAACTGTGGCGTTAGTCCGCGAGACAAAAAATACCGTCCTTATTAGGGACAGACGTGTGCTCTTTCAGCTCACTCGAAAAATGGGTCAGGAAGGGCTTACGCGAGAGAAACAACCTAAAACGCCTTGGCAGTTATACAGGATCACTTTTATACAGTTGATATCTGACACACCAGAACCAATCTATAACGTCAATACATCACCCCTTGTTTGCTGAATAACCGAAATGAAGTGATGAGGTAAAAATGGCTACATTGAAAGTCAAACTTATTGACAAACTGGCAAATCTGGTTAAAACAATATGGTGTCATAAACGGTAATCGTTGATTGTCGTTCCACATCAAATAATCTGAGGGATGTTGTGTAGGAAATATCGAGATAGGTTTCATTGAAAAGTTAAAATACACTGACAAGTAGCATACCGACACTCAGGACTGCTCACTGTCCAGATAATCAATGCATTTTAACGCCATATCAACCGCGGGCCAGAGTAACACTTGTTACGATAACCTTCATTCACCTAAAAGGTGTATTTCTTTGAGTCGATCTGTATTGATTCCACGTCCCGAACAGCACACCCGAGAAATATCGTTCCATTCTGAAATACATATATTACGATTTCATGGTAGGTGCGTTTAGGGGCTGTCCTCAGAATTCATTACGTGTGTGGTGCGTCAACTGCGGGAACGAAAGGGTCGTGAATTACTCAGTCCAGTATGATTCTCCTTCTGGAGTATAGGATCTGCTACGTGACCGGCTGACAAAAAGACTAGATATTTTGTCTTAGCCCAAATATAGCCAATTTACAAGTGCTTCTGGATAAATCAACGAAGGCGCTGCACTATTCAACACGCGCTCTTGATATAATGTGGAAAACGCTGATAAAACCTAGGTCGATCTGTCACCGGCCCACGTTAAGTAACAGAGCGATATGCACCTTTAAATATCCGCATCGACT